GTCAGTATCTTGCTCCAGCTGTGCCCTTTTCACTTCATAGGAGGCGAAATCAGGCCACTCCACGAGTATTTCTCGATATTCGAGAAGAGAATAAGAGAAGGCAGCAAGCTTTCATCAGGCAGCACGATGCGCGTCGCCAAGTGACAGTAGGAGTTGACAGTTGAAAGCTCGTGGAAGCCTCTCGCCGCCTCGCCCGCCCGCACGCCCGAGACCGCGCTGGGAACTACTCAGAAAGGGCCTTTGCGCTGGAGTGAGACAACTTCGACCTCGGACAGAGCGGATATTCAAACCATCATGCATTACTTCTCAGACAATTCCCAGGATGGAGAACTTTATATAACAGGTGAGATGCGATCGCAAAACTTGATTAATGACTTTGTTTGCTGCCGATGACAGCGGTTCAGTCAGTGCTTCTGGTGTCACTGTTGTTCGCCTGAAGGGAGTTGGGAGCTTTAAGCAATTTCCGAGAGTTTGTAAGCCTTTCATCCATTCTAAACTGGTCCGCAGCGACATTTTAACGAATCCAATATGAGCGCAGTGAATATCACATGTTTTGTGGATAGATCACAACGCCTTTTAAAAACGCTTGCTGATATGTTAAGTCTCTTCTTGTAATGTGTTTAGGGATTTTAGAAGGCTAGTTTGCTCTATATCCTTGATGAAGCGTACCATTGCTTGTTTAGTCCCACATGTAAGCGAACCTTTCGAGTCAAGCCACATGGGAAGGATATGGAATGGTTTTATGTCGGACGCGGAGTTCACGAGACTCCTGGCGTGAAATGTGGCTTAAGAGAATGTATCGCAGACTATGACGCTTGCATATCGTACTGTTGTGCAAGTGGATGAAAGAGCCAAGCAAGTGTCAGAACCTGTTTTGTATAAGCAGAGTGTGCGAAGGGAGGGGGAGGGGGTGCGCTACTTGAACCAGCTAGGTCGACCATACGACACCGTCCCTGCGTCTGGGGGTTTGGCGCCTTCCCTATGAGGCGAGCGCGGAAGTCTTGTTGCTGCTCATCTTCAGCATGATGCAAGGACTCTGAAGGACCTTGTTCAATGACCCCTTGCTGTCTTGCCCAGTGGCATATCAGGCAACCAAGACTTAAGGCGCAAGTTTTGCAATTTTGTTAATTGGTAGTGTCTCCACTAACCTCAACACAGAACGTGGAAAGCGTATGCGGTGTCACTGCCCATCATCAATGCACGAGTATAAAAGCATTTAATAATAATATTTGAGATTAGCATTTCTCTCCCTGGCAAGGCTGTAACGCCATCGCCCCTTATTGGTAGCGGAACGGCCAGCAAACGCGCTGCGGAACGGGAAGGCGGGGGGAGGGGGGTCCGCGCGTGGTCGGTCACGCCACGAGGGAGGCTCGACTGACAGTTGGCAGGGCAGGGCAAGGACTCTGATAACGTATCTCTTGGTTTCTTATCGCTTGTTTACCAGAGAAAACACTAAGTAACGATGCTCTACATGTAGTTAAATATGACTTAATCTGGGAAATCAAGGGGTTTGGGCAATACAGGAGAGCGAGCGCGGTATGAATGTGCGTGTATCACAGAGGTCCCGCGTGTGTGTCGTCGCGGGACCAGCGGTTGTACGGCCACTCTGCCCACTATGGGCGGCGCATAGTGAACGGCCAGGTACAGTAACGACTGACTAGCATCTAGCTACAGGCCGTTTTATCAGGGACGTCAAGATGGCACAGGAAGTAGAGCTCCATGACAGATTGCCCGAAAAGAAATGGCTCAGGGCAATGATGTAGTTTCACGTTTATAGTCCTGTAGCAGAATAAAAACACGACAAAGTATTCGAAGTGTAGAGGAAGGTGCGGTTGTCTGTGCGGCGAGAGAGGCGCCAGCACGAATCCTCGTCAAGGTTACTGTGACACTGGCGGGGCATCGCTGGAGGGTTGGGGGGAGGGGGTACTACTGACCTCCTCGTCTGGGTAATGTAAGAGTGAAGGCGATTCGAATGGAAGGGTGGCGTCGAGATAAACACCGCCCTCAGCATCTTCTTATCATCAGAGTTCGTAGCTTTTTTTCATTCTTTGAGTGTGTGTAAGAACAACGCATGATGAGCTCGCACACTCCGATGGGGGGCATAACTTAGCGTACGAACGTGCATGAGCACGAATTTGATGTTTACTGCAGTCTCTCTGCGTACTTGTTGTGACCTTGCTCAAGCAGTTGCATCAGTCAAGATGATGATTGCAAGAGACTCCTGCTGCCTTTGCCATTGTTGTCCACTTGGTGTTGCAGACCCCACTTTTGCAGCGGGGCCATTGTGAGGTGACCCCACGTGTGCATTGTCAGACTCCTCATAGTCCTTATCCCTATACTTGGAGTAACCCTCGCTTTAAGGCGTATGAATTATTTTCACACTTACGGAACCGTATGTGTCTCTTTCGAAATTACCATTTATGGTACCTCCCGAGAGTAGTCTCCCGCCCTTGCACAAAGACTGCGTAAAAGTGCCCTTGTCCTAGTGATAAGATTCGTAGTGATAGTGACAAGAATCTAGTCCATTACTGTTTTACTGGTGAGATATGTAGTCTAGATCCGTTAATTTGTCTTCATACTTGTATGTGCACTGGAACTAAAAATAGCGCCGCAAATGTGAATATTCATGAAAATCCATGAAATCAGATGTGATCATAGCCATTATCAATCAAACGAAATCATTTTAGGCATCCGGAGATATTTTAAGTCCACAGTGCTTTTCAGCCGAAATTTAAGTACCCAAAATCTGTCTCTATCGCTCATTTACACGTTACCGGAATCACTTGGAGGCAGTCTAGGTAACTTTGGAAAGATAAGACTTGACCATGATTGGCATTCCTGTCACCTGAAGACCTGCACTCCATCAGCTAAAGGCATCGGTGCCCCACCCACTGTATTTATATATCTATAGTTAGGGGAATGATGGATAACCAAAGCAAGTGACAGTGAGAGACACATATAATTTTAGATAAGTCTATCCTGAAAAAATCGTTTTCGTCCTCCTGTGAAACTGTAGGGGAGACATATCTTTTCCGCGTGTAAAATCATGGGAAAAATAGATAATAGTGATGATGAGTGTATCATTTTGTCAGATTATTAAAAAAAAAATCAAAAGTAAATTAACATGACCGAAGATTGCGCAGCGGAGAGCCAAATGACTTGAAGGGGCATGGTGTTTGCCTAGGACGGTGAACAGGGGATGTGTGCGAAAGTTCAGTGTTTTGTATTTTGCACCTTGTGGTCGGGAGACTGGCGCTAAACAAGTTCTCGCCAGAAAAATGTGCTTGGAGCGATGCCTATGGAAACGGTTGTGGGATTAGTGAGGCGAACATTTCCCAGCTGTCACGGGAACGGAACGCCGCATTCCTGTACATGATTGAATATTCTGGTCTATGATATTTTGGCGCAGGAAGCCTCATGTGGATGGAAGGATGCCAGGCGTAAATATGGGCTCTGAGTGTTGAAGAATTTACAGCTGATATGGCACCGTTGGTCCGACGGGTGAATTATATTTTTTGTGCTGAGCCTAGTTGCCGCGTGCGAGTTATTATTGTTTTTATCTTTCCTTCCTTTAGCATATCTCTGTTATGGTGACACTGTACTGTTCCCCTTAGTGTCCCACAGCAAGGGTTCCCAAATGATCTGCGACACGATTTGTGAATGCCAACCCTAACGCTGAATTCTTTTTCCTCAGGTCGCGAAAGGTCCTCCTCGTCCAGCACAGACGACCCTTCCTCGGGCGGAGACGACTCCTACCTGAGGGCGGCCGCAGCGGCAGCGAGGAAGCGCCGCGGAAACCTACCAAAAGAGTCGGTCAAAATTCTGAAAAAATGGCTCTACGACCATCGCTACAACGCTTACCCATCCGACGAGGAGAAGCTCCAGCTGTCCCGCGCCGCTAACCTGTCGGTCCTTCAGGTGAGTTTGCCATTCCCGTTCATTTCCAATGGACTCCCTCTCTCCCTCCCTCCCTCTCTCTCTCTCTCTCTCTCTCTCTCTCTCTCTCTCTCTCTCTCTCTCTCTCTCTCTCTCTCTCTCTCTCTCTCTCTCTCTCTCTCTCTCTCTCTCTCTCTCATTGTCTCTCATTGTCTCTCGTCATTTACTCATCCCCGTTTTATTTTATTGTATTGTATTATAATAATTATTATTATCATTGTTGTTGTTGTTACTGTCAGTAGTAGTAATAGTAGTATCCATTACTACTATTGGCGCCTCCGTCGCCTGCTAACGTGTCTCCTCCCGCCAGGTGTGCAACTGGTTCATCAACGCCCGGCGGAGGATCCTACCTGAGATCATTCGCCGCGAGGGCCATGATCCCGAGAAGTACACCATCACCCGACGGGCCAAGAAGCTGAAGGGCGTGTCCCCCCGAGACCGCATCGACCCCGAGGAATACTCCCGCCCCGCCCAGAACGACTACGCCCGCGCACGTCCGAGATGGGAGTCCGCCGATCTCCCCGACCACGACTACGACTTCTCCATGGAGTCCCGGGTAGCGTCGTGGGTGGCAGAACAGCAGAGAGTGTCAGCCAAACCCCATTACGAGGCCGTGTGCCCCTGCGGCTGTGGCTCCGACGCTGATCACACTCCAGCCTACAGCGGTTCCACCACTACGCCCACAGCACCAACGCCCACCACCCCCACTTCAGCTCCCAACTTTGCTTCAGAAGTCACGGCACCAGCAACCACCACAACAACAAATTCTCCGATATACACCGATACAACACACTCCCCCGCATACACACCCCACGACTCCCCCCTCTACCCACCGTCCACACCGGAGCACTACGTTCCTCAGACAGAATATGCTCACCACCCCTACACCACGCCTGCTCAGGTCACCCCGCCACCCACGCCCCCAGAGGACGATGCCGACAAGTTCAAGTGCTTGTACATGCTGGTGGACGCTGCCCTCAGTCAGTGGGAGAAGCAGAACGCCTCCCCGCCTCCTCAAGACGCCCTCGACACCACACGGACCTACCTCAGCCTTTAACGCGGCC